GAAAATTCCATAATTTTCAGTAGTGATATAACTTTCTCCTAGGAATAAAACATGCCCTGCACATAGAATTTTGAAGGGAATATAATTCCCTCACATCTCTTACGTATTATTAGATTCCCATGCATATTCACTACTTTTGCCATTTAACTATTTAAGGTAGTACTCCAGTACTTTTGTTACACTACTTTATAGAGCCAACTAACTAGATTCCCATGCATATTCACTACTTTTGCCATTTAACTATTTAAGGTAGTACTCCAGTACTTTTGTTACAATACTTTATAGAGCCAACTAACTCAGCTAAGTAGCGGTATTAATATCAACAAGTTGCATGAACCAATTGTAAAGGTTATGAACTATATCATATATTGATCTAAATACACCAGCTATATATAGTATACAGAGGAGAGAAGATAGCAGGAAGTTAGTAGGTTGTTGTAACAACTAATCTAACACTCCTATTCAACATGAGCATAACTACAACTTATACAAAGAAATAATACCAGCCACATATATTCTTATCACGCCCCCGCAAGATTAAGGATCCTTCGGAGACTCCAATCTTGGAACGAAATAGAAGGAACAACGAACGACCCAACAGCTTTGTGAGAAAGTCAGCTAGTTGAGCCAACGAAGGAATGTGCCGCACCACCAGTGAACCATTAGAAACTAAGTCATGGACAAAGAAATAATCTTGCGCCAGATGTTTCATATGCGAATGCAATACCAGATTTTTTCACACATATGTCACGTTAAGGTTGTCACAGAACACAACTAGGGGTTTCACCAGTTGTAGCCGCAGCTCTCGGAGCAAATTCTTTATCCACAAGACTTCTGCAGCAGCATTCGTCGAGGCTCGATAGTCAGATTTCGTCGACGAGCGTGACACAGACTTCTGGCGGGTGGACTTCCAAGAAACGAGATTAGCACCAAGATACAATATGTACGTGGTGGAACATGCCATTAAGTGTTGGAACTACTTCAATGCCCAGAAAATGATGCAAGGAACCAAGGTCCTTAAGAGCAAACCGAGCTGACAGAGTCTTAACAAACTTATCAAGCCACACAACATCGTTTCGTGTTAGTATAATATCATCCACATACATAAGGAAATAAACAATAACATTATCAGCAGAATAAACAAATAAAGACGCATCTGCTTGTCAATAGCAGGAAGTTAGCAGGTTGTTGTAACAACTAATCTAACACTCTATTCAACAGGAGCATAACTAGAACTAATACGGAGAAATAATGTCAGCCACATATATTCTTAATACCAATTGCAAGAGAATTATGGGCGAAGACTTCCGCAGATTATATGTCGCAAGTTATGCCATGGATCAGGATTCACCTTACATTGTGAATCCTAGTCCAAAACGACATTCAGATTATATACCTGCATCTAACATGTTATGAACATTCAATTAACAAATTATTTACTTATAAATAAACTGAAGATACATAATATGTTAATTGTAATAGGTATATAGTTTATTAATCGGGGGTATATAATACATTAATTGTTATAGATACATAATTTATTAATTGCAGTTGCATAATAGGTTAACCGCATGTACATAATATATTAATTGTAATAAATATGCAATTTATTAGTTAAAAATACATAATATGTCAACTGAAAATAAATAATTTGAACTGATCAGAGCTGTAACTTAATCCAATATAACAAATAACAAATCGACATCTCTAGTACGTGATGGAGGGATCACAAATGCATCATTAGTGTAAAAAAATTTTAAAGACATTTTTCATCAAAAATGGACATTTTTCTTTGAAAAATGAATATATTCAATTGATTGTTTTATTTTATTGATATTAGTCCATATTATTTGCTTTAATATTTTTTTTTATTTACATAAACTCAGGGACGAACTTATAAAACGCACATTAATATGCGGTACCTGAGTTATAATGATGCACATCTCAATGTGCGTTTGACCCTCATATTTCACAATTCATGTCGCGTTGGTAGATGAAAATAGGACATTATTGATGCACATCTTTATCTTTATCTTTTCTTATCTTTTCTTCTTTATATATATATAATAAAGTAGAATCTAGCCACAAAATTTTTCCTCCAAAATGTGAATGCATTTTAATAGAAACAAGATTAGCAAATATGAATGCATTAATTGTGTGGATAGATGTATTTATACATATTTTTTTTGAAGTTATTGTGTATTTATATTTTATAAATTATACTTTATTATTATAGCTCTCTCTATCTCTATCTATATCTTTATATATATATATATATATATATATATATATATATATATATATATATATATATATATATATATATATATATATATATATATATATATATATATTAGGGAAATTTTTTGAAGGGGTTATAGAATTTTTTTTTTTATAATAAAAGTAATAATTGGACTTGCAAAATGCATTTATTTTTTGTTAATTGCATTTTTTGTTCTATATTTATAACCTTATAGGTGATATTCAACAAGGGGTGTAAATGAGCCGAGCTGCTCGCAAGTGAATCGCGAGCGGCTCGGTCAAAGCTCGGTCAAAATCGAGCTCGAACCGAACTCGAGCGGCTCGTTTACTTATCGAGCTCGAGCCGAGCTCACATATCCTATGCTCGTGGCTCGACGAGCCGCTCGCGAGACTTATATATACTAATAATAATAATAATAATAATAATAATAATAATAATAATAATATTATTATTATTATTATTATTATTATTATTATTATTATTATTATTATTATTATTAAAAATTAAAATTTTACTTCCTTCTGGATTACCCTACTCCAGTACTCTCGCATTCTCGCCCCCATTCCGCCCAAGCCTTAACTCTGGAGTCTGAAAGACTGTCGACAACGACGACATGGAGATGAGATACGGAGACACCAGAAGACTGTCGGCTGATGATGACGAACCTTGTCTCTGGTCTCCACCTTTACTGATGTCGAACTGATCTGACGAAGCTGCTGCAGTGCTGCCCGATAGTTGACTAGTCGAGACCGGGCGAAGCGGTTGCCAACGAACGGACGAAGCTACGCGGATTTCCATCGAGCCTGAACTCGAGCTCGAACAATCGAGCTGCTCGAGCTATTCGAAAATTTTGAGCCCGAGCTCGAGCATCAATTGTCGGCACGATCGAGCTCGAACTCGAGCCAAGCCTTTCTTAACGAGCTTGAGCTCGAGCCAACCCAGGCTCGAGCTCGGCTCGACTTGTTTATGCCCCTATATTCAATTTTTATTTTTATTTTTCCTTCCAAAACAATCCTTTCTTATTATAATATTATTTAGACATGATCATTTTTCTACCTCCATCAACAATCCAGTTTAAATGATTTAAAATATTAAGGCATTTCAATGTATTCGGTCCTAAGTGTTAATATTTTTTTTGTTCTTAGATTTATGTGTGATTCCAATGCTGCGGAGGCTTAGGTTGTGCTGACGCTACTGTGGAGACACAGATTGCGATTGAAGAAGACATGAGACTCAAATTGTGAATTAGGCATTTTTTCCAAAAAAATAAAAATAAAAATATAGCGAGTCAACCCACTTTGTATTTAAAAAAATCGAAATGCCTTTGTATTTATTATCATTTAAATAGGTGTTAACGAAAGACTAAAAATTGTCATGGCACAATAATACTACGACCAATAGGAAAATGATGAAAAAAAGACTAAAAATGAAATTAGACCTATAAATCTAATAACAAAACGGAATTAATTCCATTTATTTTTATTGATATTAGTCAAAATTATTTGTTTTAATATTTTATACTCTTTTACACTAACTCACTAATCGACTTATAAAAAATACAAAGAGAATATAATTAAGACTAAGAGAAATTTGACCCACAGATTTAACCGCAATTTATATCCTGCACCAGGGCGCGCATTGCATTGTGCGCCATGATGCAAAACGACGTTGTTTCATATTTTTTTATTTTTATTTTTTTAAATTTCACTACCTTGTGTTTGCGGTTAATTTTCTTTAAAAAAAAATCTCATGTTTAAAAATATACATAATTTTATACTAGAATATACATAATTGTATACATGAGTGTACATAATTGTATAACAAAATACACATACTTTAAAAAAAAAAAGATAATACATATAATCTAACATAATACATAATAATATAATATACATAAACTTTTAACATAATAAACATCAACTTTTAACATAATACACATAAATTTTCTGTTTCGGATGTACATAATTGTTTAAAAAAGATGTACATGATTGTATAAAAAATGTACATAATTGTATAAACAAATACACATAATTGTATAAATAAATACACATAATTTATAAACAAATACACATAATCGTGCCAACTCACTACATAACTTACCAAACGACGTCGTTTTGGGAGGCGCGGGGGGCACAGTGCTATGCGCGCCGTGATGCAGGGTATAACGATCGCAGATTTAACAGTCCACCTGGTAAAAGACCACAAAAATTGTAGCCCATCGTGAGGTACGGTAGATGAAAATAGGACATTACTGATTTATTGTGCACCTAATGCAAAAATGGTTCAGTCAATTTGGACAACCACTGACCAAGTCAACCGTTTACTCGGGTAGAAGACCAAGTTGCCATTACTATAATGTTTATGTTTATGTTTATAGTTGCCTCTCTGATCTGTCCTTCAACTTTTATTGTCAACAATACCATAGTGGTTTTAAACGCATCTGACCTGCTTTTCTAATACAGATGGTTGGGATTATAGATTTATTATTATAATAAACGTTATAACTAATAATAAAGGTATATGAAAATACTATTACTACAAAAAAAAATACTATTACTTAAGTTGACATTGTAGTCAACTTGTTAAAATTCTTATTAAAAAAACAAAAAACATATTATTGTACCTTGCAATAATACATCAACTTGGCTAGTTGGCAAGGTTTATGTTACTCCTTCCTTACCTATAAATAGCTATCAAATCAAATGCATTCTCATCGTACTCATTCTCATCACTCATTCCATACATCATCATACACTAACTATATATCTTCAATGGCCCTTAGTTTTGATTTCAAATTGGCTGTTCTTTTTGCAGCCCTTTTCCTATTAGGGGCATGGGCATCTCAAGCCGCTGCCCAAGAAACATCCATGTTTGAGCGCCATGCCAGGCGGACCGCTCGCCATGGGCGTTCATACAAAGGTCACGTCAATAAGGCAAAGCCATTCAAGATTATTCAAGAAAATGTGAAGTTTTCATCAGATGTTAGGCCAGAGAAGCCAATTAAAACTACGCGTTACAGAACCGGCATGGATTCCGAGGATGAAACTAAGACGGAGACCCCCGTGGTTAGTTCATCACCGGCGGCGCCCACTACGACTACTACGCCACCGGTTCAGAGTTCAAATTCAATTCCTGAATCTGTGGACCGGATACACAATCGTGCTGAGATTACTGATTCCATAGTCCAACCCCACTCTCAAAACTGCGGTAACTATTAACAATCACAGATTACCTTCTAAGTTTGAACTCTAGGCAGTAGTCATCTATTGATCTTCTTAGTTTGATCTGGTCAACTATGAACAACATAAACTGATTTATTATTGCTAATTAGGGTCACAATGCAATTTTAATTTAATTTGCACACTCTCATAGTGATTGCGGGTTTCCCATGTTAAGTTACATGGATATAGTTGTATAAATGGCGTACTAATTGTATATTGGCAATTTATAGATGAAAACAAAAGATTCATGGATGGGTGGTCACCGTTGGTAATCGGAGCGGTGCTCTTTTATCTGTTGCAACCCGGTCTGATTCTCCAGTGTCCGGGAAACGATAAAAGGTTTGAGTTCAAAACCATGAAGACCAATGGCAAGGCTATGTTCAATCACACTATGATATTTATTGCTATCTACGCTATTATCATTGCGCTCTCTCATGGTAAAATCTGATCTGTATGTACCCACTGATACATGGCGTCTGAATTTATTTTTATTTTATTTTATTTATTTTATTTTTATGTTTTTTGGATTCTACATTCTAATCCATCTAATGTACTCATAAGTTTATGTTGCTCTGCAATTCTATCCTAGTTGGCCACTCTGTTGAATTAGTAATCAGAAACGAATTTGACTTTTAACTAAAACAATCTATTGACCTTCTTGATTTAGACTGGTTTACCTTCTTAATCCTTTATCCCTTAGTGTTGAATAAACTAGGGAAAATGACACTTTTTCCCCCTATGTTATATACTTATAGCACTTTTTCCCCCTCAATTATTTAAGTGGCTCTTTTTCCCCTGAAATGTTAAATGGACATATTTACCCTTAAAATAAATATTTCATTTATTTTTATTCTCCAATAAATTATTACTATAATTTGGTTCAAACCAGATACTATAGTAACCAAACCAAAATATTCCAATTACAATTTATAATCAAAACGCGATATTTAGAGTTTATTAAAATCACGAACTGGAATGGGCGGTTCATGTTCCAAACTGAAAAAATAAAATACATTTATTGTTGAATTTAAACTATTTTAAAATAAAAAATAAAATTTTAAAATAAAGACGGTTCAAAATCGCGAACGGGATCCGGAACCGTCGGTTCATGATCCAATTTTTTTTTTATTCTTAAATTTAATAAATTGAAATCCAAATATTGGGTTCTAGGTCTGAATCATAACTGAAAACTTTTAATTCGATTGCTATAGTGTCTGGTTCAGTTCGAACCGAACCGTGGTAATCGCTACATATACGCAATAATTTGTTGGAGAAGTAAAATAAATAAAATGTTTACTTTAGGGGTAGAAATGTCAATTTAATATATTAGGGGAGAAAATCACCACTTTTAAAATAATTGAGGGGGCTAATGTGCTTACATAAATAATTGAGGGGGAAAAAGTGCTATAAGTATATAACATAGGGGGAAAAAGTGCCATTTTCCCAATAAACTATCAATCTTTTGTATTGGTTTGTTTTTATTTTAAATTTTTTATTTGGCTTGGACTGATTTGCAATTTTTCCAGTGGTTCATAATTGAAAAATACTACATGCGCTCCCATTTCTTACTCCCAACTTTTACTCCCTCTCACAAATTTTTTAAGTAGACACATTTCCTGGTACCCACATGATGAAAATAGCCATCTTTGTTTGCCATGTCATAGAGTAAAAGTGAGAAAGTAGAATTTGGGAGTATATGTTGTAAAACTCGATTCATAATTGATCACGCCCAGTTTTAAACGTTCAATGTAAAATTAAAAGTTATTCATAGAAGCCAGTCTGCATTTAAAGCAACTCATTGCGATACTTTGTCAGCTATGATGACAAGGTAAAATTATCCAAATCATACCATCCACCAGATTTCTCTCAATACTCTAAATAAAATATAAAAAAAAAAAAAATCAATTGTACAAAATGACCCAATTAATTAGGTGATTTTAGGAATATGTTATTTTTAAAAACAAACCTTTAAATTGTTCACATATAAAATACGAGACTTTAGGCATCTAATCTTACGAAAAATAAAATCCTAAACTCTCTGTTCACACTTAAAAGAAATAAAAAAAAATAAAATTAATCGCATTCCTCCATTTAACATATTGAAGATTAAGGAAAAATACGATCGCATTTATATAAATATGACTGTACATTTGTAAATGCTTGGCAATACATTCACCACACATACATATATAGAAGGGTTGAGTTAAGAACATGTTTTAGTTAAAAAGTTCTACTGATATGAAATATATGATCTATTCATTTGTAGATCAACGGATGAAAGTTGTTAAAATAAGGAAAAAAACGACGGGATTAGTTTTATAAATATTATAAACTTAAAAATTTGTAATAATTATAAAAATGAAATGTTTTAAAAAACAATGAAAAATAACTCAAAAAAAAAAAAAAAAAACTTAGAGAGATAACGGAGTATAAGAGAAAGATCTGAAAAATATCTTTCTAGTAAAAAATAGTGAAAAATATTTTTTGCAAAACTGGATCTCTTCTTGTTTGACCAAAATAGGTTGATTTCGTTCACTTCATTCTCCTTGTACAAAGAGTCTAGAAAATCATTTTCAGAATTCAATTTTTAATTTTTCAAACAGACCTAAGTTGACATTATAATGAAATAGTTAAAATTCTTATTTATTACAAGTGGTATGAATTTTGTTCAACAAATTATGTCGACCCTGGTTTGTTGCTATCAAACCACAAGATATTTGCTCAAGTACTTTAGGTTTATATCTTTATAAATTATAGAAAATAAGTGTTAGGTATATTTCAGAGACTTTCTATAAACCATACATTTCTGTACAATATTCCAAAATCCAAATCGTTCTTATCCAATTCAATTTTAAATGACGATGTAATTTCATAAAGTGGATGGACAGTAAAAGTTATTTATTTATTAAATATTAATTAAATACTTGAATGTGAATATTTTCATATTGATTATTGGATAATATGTTGTTTTATTTTATATATTTTAACTTTTTAAGATCACAGATTTTTTAAATATAAAGTTATAGATGGACATGTAGACTGAATTTACTTTTACATCACATTTGATTCGTAGAAAATTGATGATTTTATAAATTTTATCGGGACTGGTTCCAAAATAAATTGAGAATAGAGAATATATATGATAGGAGGATAACACTTTTATTACCGGGGCGTGAGACACAATAGAAATGCGTACAAAGCCCAAAAATGGGAGCCCGGAGAATAAACAAGCTAATAAATGAGGGACTAATAAATAAATAAATATAATATAATTTAAGGCAACCTAATTACATTACCACCAGGAATTGAACCCAAGCACACCAGCAGGGAAGGAAAAGATCAAACCACTGGACCAAGAGTGCAGATGGTGTTTAAGGGATGCTTTACCTTGACCAGCCCTCCCCCCCCCCCCCCCCCCCCCCCCTTTCCCTCTTTTATAATGCTACTGTTAGTGGATGATCCCCCCCCCCCCCTTTCCCTCTTTTATAATGCTACTGTTAGTGGATGATCCTGCACCTTCCACGTGTATGGCACCAAGGTGGTGTAACCTCCCACTAGACAAGCGTCTCACGCCTTCTTATGTCATGTAGCTGCCACAACTCCGTCTTCACTCACCAGGCGCCACGTACCCAGGGTCGCTCACCAAATTCGCAAGGAACCCGGTGAGACAGACACGCACCCGGGGCACGATAGGGCGACCGTATCCGAGGAGTACGCCACACACCCGTCGCGCCCCGCGGGCCCGACCGCCCGTGGAATGGTAATGAATGATGAGTATAAAGAATAATATGTCCATATTATATATTAAAAAATAATTAAGAAATGGAATTTGAATTTCATGGAAAAAAATTATTGGAAAATTGATTCCATTTTTTGGTTAGTAAAAAAGAAATTAATGAAAATATTGTTTCCATTGTTTGAATGTGTTTGGAATGGTAATGAATGATGAGTATAAAGAATAATATGTCCATACACCATAATAATAATAATAATAATAATAATAATAATAATAATAATAATAATAATAATAATAATAATAATAATAATAATAATAATAATAATAATAATAATAATAATAATAATAATAATAATAATAATAATAATAATAGTAATAATAAAAGTAATAGTAATTTATTCTAAAATGAGAGATCTTGAGTTTGAGTCTCAGTGGTGGCGGTATTGACTCTTTGTACTTCAGTAGGTTGAGAAAGTAGTTATGAATAGATGCTATATTGTAACAGAGCCAATAGTAGTAAAAAAAAAATATGTTCAATACAATGAAGTAATATGAAGGTAGTTTGGTAATTCTAGGTGAACTTTGTTCCCAAATGTCATGAAAATTAAAAAGATACCTAATTTAACTAAAGAAAATATTATCATAATATTTTAAGAATTCAAGTTCTTATTAAAAAAAAAAAAAAAGAAGAAGAAAATTAATGAACAAAACAAAACATAATTTAATTTTCCTCCACTTTGAGGAATTAGTTAGTTGGAAAAATTAAAAAAAAAATGTCACTTTTAGTCCTATGATTTTGGATATTTTTAATTTGTGTCCACGAGTTTAAAAGTTGTCAATTTCAGTCTATAACTTTTCATAATCCAAAGGAATAAAAAAGATGAAGAAACATGCATTTTAGAGTGAAGAACTGAAGATCATGCCTCATGCTGTCATTCACGCCATGAGTGTCAGTGTAACTTCATTATGCTTTACATTATATTTTTCTTTCTCAGGCGCTGTTTCGGTACTTTAAACATATCTCATAATTGAAATGTCCAAATTAAGTGATTTCAATGGCATTGGATAGATATTTCAAAAAGTTGCAACTATTATGAACACAACAAAGTCAAATTTTGACGTCTACAAGGTGATAATAAATGACTTAGAATCCAGAAGTTTTGTGTAGAGTAGATCAGGGCTCATGGTGGGACTTACACTAAGTAGTTATTTTTAAGGCAGAAGTGTCAAATAGCCCCATCTACTATCACGAAGTGCTCAATTCCCACCACGAACTAAAATAAAGTCTAATTAGCCACACTTACTAACTAAAATTGTGCGATTGGCTTTTTTAATAGGTTGTCAACGGGTTCCCTATCCAGGTGGATGACGTGGAAAATAATATTATTAATGAGAGATAATGACATGGAATATATTCTTTGCAGCATTCGTTCTTCAACAGAGCTTGGGTTCGACAAGCTCACCATTCTGCAATCTTCAAATGCGATAGCTTAGGTTTCCATTTTCATGGGCTTCGTCAACAGAGCTGCGTTTCTTCAACAGAGGTAGGGTTCATCAAGCGTAAAGTGTATAACGCCATCCCCGACTTCTTCAATCGCGATAACTTAGCTACGGTTCGTCAAGCTTCAAGTGTATAATGTCAACATCTTCGGCTTCATCTAGCGTGCGAACTAGCTTGGAGTATGAGCCTTCTATGTACTGTAGGTGTGGATTGAAGGCTCCAATCTGCACAACCAGAGATTCTGGGAAGAAATTTTATGGATGTCAAAGGTGGAAGGTGAGTTTAGATCCTTAATTTTTAATCTAAGATTAAATTTGTTTTTGATTCTGAGAAAATTTATTTTGAATTGGTTC